CTTCCCTCACACCCTGAGTGGCCTGGGCCATCCCCCAGTGCCCGTGTCGGCTGCCTGGCTCAGCTCTCTGTCCCCACCCTCTGCTTCCCACCGTCCAGGCCGTGACTTGTGTCCCCACAGGGCGGGCAGCCTGTGCTGCCCTGTCGCAGGTCCCTGGGTCAGACTGTCTAGGGTCCACCCTCCAGGGCTGTTCCGGTCATCATCAGTCACCTCCCTCAGAGGGTCAGGCCTTCCTCAGTCCATTTATCTCTGTACCAAGCCCCACAGTCGCTTGTCCACAGACGCCCTGGGAAATATGCAAATAAGAAGGAGTCACCAGCGTCCACACCCAGAGACGTCCTGCACTTGTTCCTCCCACGCATTCGCCAGGTGAGTGGCCTGGCAGGTGGGATGGACACAGCACGCGCCTCAGTGCTTTGGCAGCACTTCCTACGGTGGCTCGAGGCGGGTGACAAACATGTCCATGGGGAGGGACTTGGGTGGCCCGTCATAGTGAAGCCAGATTTAAAGTTAGGTAGTCAGTGTAGTTAGGTAAATCGGGTCTAATACTGAGTGAAATCTAAAACGGAGGCCATGTTGAGAATGAATTTCCGGAAAAGCTGAGCAACTCTCCGAATGTTAATGAAGCCCAGGATACAGCCCCCAACAGATTTGGAGATAGCCCATCCCAAAGAAATGTTAATGAACAGCAAACTTGACTCGGGGAAGTGCCCAGATTACTTCTTTGGCTCACCTGTGTCCCAACCCTTCCCACCTACATTCCATCACTGAAAGAACTATAAAAAGGGGAGACAACTGCACTTCCACGGATTCCACCTCTTGGGTCCCCTTCTTCCTCCGGGAGAAGTCTTTTCTGCTGTCCTTTAATAAACTTCTAATCTCTACTCTGACCTTGCCTTGGCGTGCTTCTTTGGTGTTATTCTTCAACATCGGGGAGCAAGAACTCGTCACCGGTCAACAGCGGTAACAATAGTTCCTCTCCTGCACGATGGTGGGCGGCCCCCATGCCAGGGCTTCCCGTGCTTCCTGGTCACCGGGCGCCACCGCAGGCTGCCCACGGGGACTTACAACCTTCTCAGGTTTGAGAGGCCAAGTGGCTTTCGCCAGCTCCTCTTCACCTTCAGAGTCTGAGAAGAGGAAAAGCAGGACTTCCCGGTGCTGCTCAAGAGGCGCGTCCTGGTGACGTCTGACAGCGATGGCTTCCTCGAGGCTTGGCCGTCGGTCCCTCCGCACAGTCCTGTGTCCAGAGCAGGTGTCCTCAATCTCAATCCCACCGCTGGACCTGGTGCTGTGTGGGTGTCTCAACAGCCTCGCTGGGGAAGCCGGGTCCCCCAGGTGGGCCACAGGATCTCCTTGTCTGGGACATGATGAAGAAGCCACCCGAGGGTGCCCCTGCTCAGCCATGAGAGACGCCCTGTCCTCATCCAAATCCTGCAGACACCACGGCAGGACGAGTCTGCCACACCAAGGAGCATGCTGCTCTGAATCCAATGAAGGTCCAGATGATCAGTAAGAGAGATGTCAGGAGGCACAGCTGGAGACCCCAGGCCCCACGGCCCCAGCATGGGACAAGGACGGCCATTCACAGGAGGGAACTTGAGGACCAATCTGCAGCCGCCTGCCCCACTCGGGGACCTGGCCTCCTCCCTGGGGCCACTCCCCAAAGGGAAGAGCTCACGAGGTGCCCTGGCCCTGCCTCCTCCCCCGGCTGGTCCAGGAGTGCTGGACCAGGGAGGGGACAGCAGCTGTGCCTCAGGTCACTTGTGAAACCCTCACCTCACGGTCTTGCCGTCCCAGGAAATGTCAAGTGCCCTGTCCTGGGTCCCTCTGCTCTTACGTCTGGGCAGCTGAGGGCACAGGGACAGGGCTGCCCAGTCCACGGCACAGTGACAGGCCCCACCCCTATGAACTCACATGCCCACTCTGGGTCTGTGTGTCCAGGGGCTCACAGCTTCTCAGGCCCCGTGACCTGAGCCCAGGAGAGCCCAGACACAAGTGCGGTGGGCACCTTCCTTCCTGTGCCCCACGTGTGTCTCCTGCTGGTGTGGTTCAGCCCCGTCTCTGCCCAGGGGTCCACTCTGTCTGTGAGGGAAGGGGCCCCCCAGGATCGCACGGCAGGCGAGGTGGGGAGAGCGGAGTCTCCAGTCCACTCCTGAGCCATCTGGCAGGTCGCTGGGCTGGCAGCTGGGACCACGCCAGTGTGAGGGCTGAGCCTGGGAATCGGAGCCTGGTCCGGACACCTGCAGGGCCCTTCCTGGTGGTCAGGATTTGGGGATGCCCCAACCTCCCCAGAGGGGCTGGTCCAGGCCCCAGGGCTCCTAGGAGGGGTCACTGCAGACTAGCCCCCAGAAGGGCCTGGTGTGCTTGGTATCATGGCCAGAAGCTGTCCTCTGAGGCTCAGTTTCCTCACCTGTACAGGGGGACAGGAAGGTCCACCCTCTTCAACAAACAGACCCTTTTTAAAGTCAAAACACACAAGGAACAGCCCTGTTTGACTTCAGGAGCTCAGCGCAAGAAAGAGAAGGCAAACCTGCTCTGTTGTCCAAATACAAACACCTGTGGTGCTCAGCGCAAA